TTTCTATAACCAAATTTTCTTCTTGTTTGGTCCACAGATTCGACAAGATCCAAACATGACCAGACTTGACAGAATCAGGAACAGAAATGTCCACTAGACTTTTCAAATATTGCTTGAAAAATAGAATCTGTATTGATTACCAAAGGGTTTGGCCTAGAACCCCACAAACAGAGGGCCCCACCCAGTTCTGGACCAGCTCAGAATCTCTGTCTGGGTGACCTACTGGCTCACGGTAGGCAACTGAGTGGCTACCTCCGTCCCATGCTAGGAATCTCCTGACTTGCTGTTTGTCCTTTGCCAATCTCGAAAACTCCTTTCATTTCAATCTTCTCCTGAGTGGGAGAGGGGAAGGGGGAGGCAGAGGAAAAGGTTTAAAAGCAAAGAAAACAAGAAGGAGGAAGTGACTGGCGCTCAGTGAACCCTCAAGTGTGAAAGGCTAATCCAGAAACCACTTAGTAATCAGCACCATGAGGTCAGAGCTGGTGGCATCTCCTGTTACGCACATGGTGCCTTCTTCACCTCCTGCAGAGCCTTGCTTCCTGAACCTGGGTGACCTTCTGAAGTCTTCACCTTGGCTTCACCTGTGCTTGGCAACAGGCCCTTCCTGTGCCACAGCCTCCACAAATCACCAGCTGCTTCTGAGTTACCTGTAACAGGTCTGTTTTCAAGACACTGGCCGGCCTGTACATTCTGGAAACAGAAATCTGGGTATAGAGGACTGGGCCGTGTTCTAAGGCCCTGACTGTGCTACAGAATGTGAAAGAAAAAGTCATTTCCAGGTTGTTCTAATGTGAACCCTGAGGCCGCACACAATGTTCAGAACAGTGGGTCTGTCAAGCTCAAGGGAACAGTGTTGAAAGTGGTTTATGTCTTAAAATGTTTGGCTGATGGCCAAATAGCATGTTACTGTTGAAACTCCAGATCCTCAAAATCTAAAGGGAATCCAGATATCCAGAAGAAGTGAACCCAATCTAGACTATAGGAGGATTTCTGGTGGTTAGATAAGAGCTGGTATTCCTCAGGAACTTGAAAAGCTGGCTCTTCCCCACCAAAAGGAGCCATTTCTCTTATCTGGCAGAAGGGACAAATGGCTCTCTGTGGTGCCTATTAGCACACCAAAGTGCTGTCCTCCAGGCTCCCTCAGTATCACAAGTACATGTTACACATTTCAGGGGTTCATGCCAGGACCTCAGCCCTCCTCACCTCCTCCCCAAAACTCCTTCCAGCTCCTGGCTCCTTGCCTCCTCACAACTACTCATTCTCCTTATAACCCTGCTATCATAGATTCCCCCCCCCTCTCTTCCCACCCACCGTTCTCTCGTGACCACACCCAGTCTGCTGGCCAGAGTTGGTTTTTTTTCTCTTTCTGCTCTGGACTCTTCCAGAGTATTGGAGTCAGCATAGAACACACCCAGACACCAAATTCTCAGCACAAAGAAGATTTTATTACTGTTAGTATTCTGTCTCAACTCCACCTTCACAGTTACCTGGCAACAGCCAGGCATGCTCCTCCCCACAGTTACCTGGCAACAGCCAGGTAGGCCTGCCCACTATAAAAGGGGCCGCCTGCCCCCTCCTCACTCTCTTGATCCCTTGATTCCTCGCTTGCAGGTTCTCTCTGCCCCTTGCCCCTTCCACCTTCCCTTCCTCCTCTCTCCACGTGGTCATGGCCAGCCTCCTCCACTTCTCTCTCCTGTCTCTTCTCTCTCTTCTCCCCGCCATCTTCTTCCACTTCTTTCCCCACCTTTGCCCTCTGCCCTGAATAAACCCCCTCCCCTCATGGAACCATCTGGTCTGGTGTTGTCTGTCTAAACTGCTCGCCAAAATCTTTCAATTACCCCAGAGGGGACAGGTAGGGAGAGGGGATGCTGCCTTTGGATTGGGCAAAGACAGCAGCAAGTGTCTGGGGAGGGGGAGAGTTAAGGAGAATAGGGGGGAGTCTGTGCTAGAATGACTTTTAAATCTTGAATGACTATGTTAGCCAGTGTAGTCAATTAATGAATTTTGATTTCTGGACCTTGATATTTTGATAGCTGGACCTTGGAGGTTAGAGCCAAATAAGGGGAAAGATCTTGGTAACTAGCTTTAGGAATGTAATCTAATGGTTTGACAAGGGAGAGGGAAGAGGAGAGGGCAAGACCTCCTGATGCCATGTTTGCAGTGCTTGGGCCATGCTGTAAGTTCATACAACTGTCACACACTTGCACTGATCAGCAGATTTTTAGGGAGTGGGGCAGAAATAGATTGATTTAAAGGTAAGGCATCTTCTATGTGACTCTTACAAAGGAAACCAAATCAGGAGTGTTGGAGCGAGGCTTGACTTCACTGGTTCTTAGAGTTGTTCTCATGGATACAGGCAAGACATCCATAGGATCCATTTCCCCCACCAGTCCCAGGAGCCCTCTGTGAGCATAAAGAACTCTCTCATCATTCTGCAGTTTCTCTTTCAGTGGTTCCTCGTTCCATGATCAGCTCTGGGTAGAAACAAGCAGACAGAGTATACAGTGGCCTGCAAAGGAGACAGTTCCAGAAGGTGGGGTACAGCCAGAGAGCTCAGCTGAAGGACCAAAGATTCCTGGAAGTGAGCCCTAAGGAATTGTCCTGGTGTTTGCTGACCCTACTGCGTTCTTTCCCTTGTGCCCAGCTCTGAAGATGTGGATGCTGCTCTCTTCTGTCATTACAGCTTTTCCATTCAGGTTTCTCCTGCCCCTCTTAGATGGCCAAGGAGTAAGACGCATCCTCTCAGAGTGTGGTGAACCACTGCTTTGTTTCTTGAAATGTTTTCACTTGATCATTTTTGGACTATCAAAGAGGCTTAGCGACTACAGAATATGTAACTACTTAAATGTAAACATTTAATAATGAACACAACGCACCCAGGCACTTCAGAGTCATTGGTTTTCCTCAATCACTGTGAAGGATACACAGTCCCTAGACATGTCACATTCCCACAGTGGTGTTTTCTCTCCGCTCTACTTCACTCAGATGCTGAAGAGTCTCCTCCACTTTCTCTCTCGATCTCCACATCTCTCCTCAAACTCCTAAAATAGCCTAGCTCCAGAAACATCCTTTTGCTTTTATATACATTCGATACGAAGAAACTGGGCCCTTCCCTCCCCCGGTTCTCTATAAGTTTGCTTTATTTTACTGAAAATTTCAGCAAGATACGACCATTGCTTCCACTATCACCAACACAACCAGGCACTGCTCCACAGCAACAGGAGCCACCTCCAGGATGCTGGAGAGGAAGAAGGAAAATCATGTCTTTTGTTGGTGCTGAAGGAGGGGAAGGAGGGAGGTGACATATGTTACTGTCTAGAATCAAATCACTAGGTACAGCTCACACTCAGATGGAGGGGTCTATTACATAGGAGATGGGAGTCATCAGAGACCATCACAGGAATGGGAATACCGAGGGAGCTGAAGGCTAGACCGCAAAGATAATCCCAAGGCTAGAAGATGGAAGTGGTTCAAGGATGGGAATGAAGCTAATGAATGTAGGGTCAGTAGGTAGAAGAGGACGTGCCTGCAATTGTTTTTTTTGATCTGCAGTGTCTTCCTGTCTCTCCTATCCCTAACACGGAGGTGGAGCTAAAGGAAATGGCGGGTACAAGGCTAAAGAATAGAAGTATAAATACTATGACTCTGCAGAAATAAACACTTTCCTGCCGGGAAAGCAAATGACAAGGGATGACGATGGAGGAATGTGAGAAGCATCTAGGTAGCAGTGACTCAGGAGCCCTAGTGGGGAGAAGTCTCTCCGTGTAGACGTGCCAGGGCACCAATAAAAGAAAGTTAGGAAATGAGCCCTGAAACAGCTCTGCAGTAAGATGTTTACAACCACAGACTGTGGAGATGAAAGAAACAAAGGCCGAGTGTGTAAGGTAGCTCCGAGAACATACCTAGGGCAACGTGACACAAGGGCAGAGATGTAAGGAAGAGGGTGAGGGGAATCGTTTGGCAGCATCTGTTAAAACACATTTTTACCTAAGACATATTTTAGGGGGAAGGTTTCAGATTTTTCAGAGCCTTTCATCGGCTGCTGTGACCTGTGAAACTGTGTGTGGGACAGGGAGTGGGGCGTAATAGGAGGAATTTATGACGTGTACTTTCTTAGTAAACATGATAGCTCCAATGCTGTGGCTTTATGGGGGAATGCCCTCGGATCAAATGCCTGTGGGTTTTTTTTTTTTTTTTTTTGAGAGCAGGAAGAGACTTGGGTGAAACATGTACAATGAGCCAGAAGTGGTGGCTTGCACTAAAGCCATATAGAATAAATACTTAATCAGCACCTGTCAGCCAGAGGGGACAGTGGGTTGCAACATCTGCACCACAACAGGAAGATTCAGGAGCAGAATTCAAATGGCAGTTATTCCACCAGGTACACTGCCCCTGACCCCAGTCCCTTCTCCAGGATGCACTTCTCCTCCTGGAATTCTCGTCTATCAATAGTACGATCACTTCCTGGCCTGCTCTCATGGAATTTTCCCAGTATCAGAGTATTGGGACAATGAAGGGCTGAGTCACTGGCATAGGCAAGACAGAGAACTAGTATGGAAAGAGAAAATGAAATCGGGAAAGGACTCTTTGCCAAACAACGAAGGTAATAGCTTATAGAGAGATGCTAATATCTCTAACTTTCAGTACAGACTTTCCAACAACAAGGGTTGAGAGACCAGTGCCTTCATAATCAAAAGAATCGGACCTCTCCTCCAGTACCTGGAAGCAGCTGAGGTCCCACCCACCAACCAGGAACATACTGGCTACGTGCAACCTCCCCTTCCTGGAGGACACAATGTTATGTTTCTAGGTTCCCCCTGGAGGATATTACAGTAACTTTCAGTGGTTAATGAGTAGCTTCCCGGTGCCTGCTTCATTTAATTGTTCAAAGGCCATTTGTTCCTGTGTATAAGGCTGTGACCTGGCTAGTGAGTGCTCTTCCCCCAGCAGACCTGGAAGCAGAGGAGTGGCAGGGTCAGACAGGCTCCAGAGAAGAAAGGATGCAGAACAGGACTGGACTGATTCTGTGCTCCCTCTCCCTCCTCACAGGCTTCCTGATGATTTGCTTGGGTGGCTTTTTCATCTCCAACTCCATCTTCCACTCCCAGAAGAATCTGGCCGTGGCCTATGTGCTTCTGCCTATGGGGTTTGTGATCCTTCTGAGTGGAATTTTCTGGGGCACCTACCGCCAAGCAAATGAAAACAAAGGGATGTTCAACCATGTGCTCAGACAGCACCTTGCGTCCCAGGACCTGCCCCTGGCCACTGTAGACAGGTACGTGCTGAGCGCCAGAGGGAGAGAGAAGGGCTGAGAGCAGTCACAGTGTGGGAAGGGAAGCGAAGCACAACTTCATACTGGATTGGCTTACAGTAGTTAGGCTTGAAATTCCACCACTGGGCAATTTACTCTGAGGCTGTTGTGCATACGCGGGGAGCAGGGCTGCCTTTGAGGAAAACAGAGGTAAGAGGGAATTTTCTTAGGGTAAGATCCTCATGCCCACAGTAAAAATTCACATAAAACAAATTAAGAGGTACAACCCCTATGTTCTTCCTACGTTTGGGGGAGTGATTTTAGTTAAAGGCAGGCGATGATTAGATGGCCTCCAATAATCTGGTTACCGAGTTATAAAGAAAGTCCCAGACCAAGTTCTACCCACAATAAATGAGCAAGCAGACGTCAAGTCAGTCCAGCAATTTCTCTGACTAAAGAAGTTCTAGATGACTGACCTTTCAAGTGTTCTGACCTCACCTCTTATGAAGGATGTATTCAAGGCAAGATGATGATATGCCCATCAGTGATGCAAAACCAAACGGCAGCATGTCTACACACACGCTGCAATATTACTTGGCCTTAAGACAGATCAAATTAATTGATATGTGCCATAGATAGACATTGAAAACATTATGGCAAGTGATATATTCCAGACAGAAAGGAAAAACACTGTACTATTTCTGCTTACACCAAGAGCTACCAAAGCCTCTCACACCACAGCCACCTACACCAACACCAAGCAGCTACCATAGCCACTTACACTAGGTAGCTACTACAGACAGGAAATAAAGCAGTGGTTCTCAGGCCTGGGGTGTGTGAGAGCAATGAAGAGTTTTTATTTACTGATTATGGGATTGTAGTTGGGAGTGAGAGTAAAGTTCTAGGGATAGTTTTGCAGTAATATTACGTCACTAATACCACTAATGCCCTCACAAGTAATACATGTTATTTATATTTTACCCAAAGGGGAAAACAAACAGGTAACCTTGTGGTTGGTTAACTTACCATCGATCTTCTAATTCTCGTCCAAACACAAGAACATTGTTCGTAAGGTATACGGTGTCTTAAGGTATAGGATGTAAGAATCCATAAGTCTTTTTGTGCTTCAGGAAGATCATAAAAGGTTTTAATTATCCTGTGTACTTTGAATAAGAATCCTTTTATCAGTGGCTGGCATCCATCACACCAGAGATAACAATCAGAACCCATTTCTAAGGTCAGTTAGAGTAATTAGAAAGCCTTTGGGTTTCATCTTAGATTAAGATAACAGAGTGATTTAGAAGGTGTGTCTAGAGTAATTGTGTGTGTGTTTGTGTTTTTGTGTGTGCATGTGTGTATATTTGTATGTGTTCATGCATATGTGTGCATGTATGTGTGTTTGTATGTGTATACGTGTATATGTCCTTGTGTGTGTACATTTGTGCATTTGATTGTGTGTTTGGTTTTGTGTGTGTCTGTGTTCATGTGTGTATATGTATTTGTGTGTATATTTGTGCATGTGTGTATGTGTGTGTGTATCCACCTTGTGAGTTCTCGCTAATAGCAAATGATGCGTCCGAAATTTACCAACACACTCATGTATCCCCTTGTCTAGAGTATTCAAAAGTAAATCATGAATATCTTGACACCACTCACTGTCCCTTCCTGCTGCATCATGAGATGCTCAGCCTACAGAGTCAACTTGAAAAGTTCCATATCTCAAAACCTTTGAACTCAAAATGGGTAACTAGGCAGAGAGATCCCAGTGAGTGTTCCTCCAGTGACAGGATTCATGAGAGCAGTCTTTTCGGCAGTCTCTCAAGTGGTTCCAGGGACGGGCTCACCTTTCTGTCCCCATGACTCAACCTTGGCTATTCCTGGGAAAGGTCAAGACTTACATTTTACAGTAGACAGCTCCTTCAGCTATTCAGTTCTTGGCTCTGTGATATCTGGAGTGGAGCAGTGGCTACAAATGGCAGGGCTTGCTCTGTTGTGGTTACCCTCCATAAACACGTCCTTTGGCACTGGGTAGATTACCTCTATAAATACACAGCTCATGTAAGCTCACCCTGTCTCCCTTCCACTTGCCATACCCCCACCTTCATTCATGGTGGAGGAGCCAGAAGCATTTAGAAAGTAGTTAGATGGGCAAGATGACCAGCATGCCCATCCGCTGAGGTGACTGGCTCTTAACCATGGGTAGGCTGGCATTACTATTATGCAGGGGAAAGTCTCACAAAACTCTCAGCTGATGCCCTTTACAACTGGGATGTGTTTCCCATGTTTTCTCTAAAACTAGCTGCCCAAGACTTGACAGTGTGCCAGGAGAGAGTGGTAACATTTATTCTGTCATGGACCTGCATGTAATGAATGGTTTCTATTCATTATTGTGTTGCTTGTGAAGGTCTGAGGCTTTGAGAGCAGTGGCGTAGAAGATAATGTGTGTGAATGGTAACAAGGATTGGGTACCATTAAAACAGGTGGGACATGGTCAAAGTCCCTGTGTCACCTAAAGCTGATAAGGTTGGTGCACTAAACAGCTGTTTCTCTGATTGAAAGAGCAAGCAAGGTGGAATCACTTGGAAAGCTGTCTGGAACAGGAGGGCCTCTTATGGCTGATGGAGGGGGGAGGTTCTGGAAGGATGTGCAGTTTTTAGAAACCCGTGATGTCAGAAAAGTACATCTGTTTCAAACTCTGTTTCTTAGCAGTTTTGCTTCACACAGTGTACGTTGAGAGAGGCAGACATATGCTTCCTCACCACATTTGTGGTGTTTCATTCCACAGGCCCGACTTTTACCCCCCAGCTTATGACGACAGCCTGGATGTTGAGAAAGAGGCCTGCCCTGCAGGCAGAGGGCTCCTAGGATTCCCTCCTCCTCTGTATACAGAGACAAGCCTTGAACTTGAAGACGAAAATGACCCACAACCAGAGGACCCTCCACCCTATCAGGAGATCATAGCAGATGCAGTGGCTACAGCGAAGGCACAGGATGCTGAGGAGCCAAGCACAGTGCTAAATGAAGGAACTGCTCTCCAGCACTCAGAACTCCCCAGCTGCTGAGAAAAGAGGCTGGCCAGGGACTGGGAAGTTGCTCTGCCACCCTGCACTGGAGCAAGGCCACCATGGGCTCCAGGGACTCAGTTTAGTCTTTCCAGGGCAGCATGGGGTCCAAGAAGGGGATAGCCACCAGCAGGCAGTGGGTGCAGAAAATTCCCACAAAGCCCAACCTAGATGAACCTTAGACCGCAGAGAAGGTGCTTTCTACCTCCTTCCTAACCTCATTACCTCAGCCCAAGCTGAGAGTATGCTTGCTGTGGGTGGGACGGCCATAGCCCTTCACACACTGTGTCCAAAGAACCAAAGGAAAGGATGCCTGAGAGGCAGGCCTGTGTCACCCCACTGACTGTGCTCCCTGAGTGACACCATTGCTCTCACACACCAAGAGAGATGTTCCAGGAACCTAGGAGTGTTGTTTTGTATCATTGTATTTTAATTATGTGTGCTTTTTTCTATATAAAAGAAAGAGACTGTAACATTTGCTTTCAAATGGTCCAAACACAATACGTTGAGTTATTTTTTTAAAGAGGCCTTTATATAAGCACACAGGAGTTCTTATAGATTCAAGTTGACTAGACAGAATATTTCATTCATGATACAGAAAACCAAGGGTGATGTTAATCTACAACTTGCTACAAATCTTGTGAAGTTTAAAAAATGTTCATATGCAGTTTTCAAAGATGCACCCCTGCCAAATTCAAAATGTAAGCGATTAAAACCTGTAAGTCCATATCTCTGTTACCAGGATGGTTTTTGTTGTGTCTCTAAATAGAGAACTAGACTTCTAGACTTAACCCGGTGGTCCCTCCTTGGTTTAATTTTCCCTGTGGGAGTTTTTTTTTAAGTCAGAGAACATGTTGGTGGAAGGATGCCAGCAGGACACTCAGGATGAAGGTGTCTGTGTTAATATCTAACAGTTAATGGCACACCTTTCAAACAGCAGGTCCAACTAACCCTCCTATGCACAGTATTCAACCCCCACTCCTTCCTTACGAGGTGAGGCTATGCCCAGTCCTGTTTCTGCCATGCATCAGCTGAGGCTTCAAGACCTCATGAAACAATAAAACAGTGGCCTGAAGGAAGGTGAAGAGCCCAAAGGATTCGAGGGAAGTTACTTACTCTATACTTTTGCATTAGTCTAGCTGTGTCTTTCTGGATGCAGCTTAGTTTGCTGTCTCCATTTCAGAAGTGATCCCTAACAGAAAGAGATGCTCCAGGTTACTGCAATATCTTCCACCCTTGAAGGAGAAAGCTGGGTGGCGTTAGGGTTATTGGGCTTCTCCGTTAAAATATGTCAGCCTTGCTTCCTGCGAGCTTCCTGTGAGCTGGGCCCTCGTAGTGCAGTTTTTCTACATCCTACTGAGGATAGCCACAATGACAGGCAAGGTGAGTCTTTGAAAACTCACAAGGAAAGATGAAGCTGTCAAGAAAGAGAGTCAACAAGGTGGGACTGGGGGTTCACGGTTTCCAATTCCCTGTCAGTGGTGAATACACAGGTCATGAATGTCCTGATCAATACACAGTGCCAAATGAACAAAGTCCTAGTTCATAACATATACCTTTGTGAATCTCTGCTTTGCATCCATGACAATGAGAGAACAGCTAGATAGGAAGGCCACTGGTGATTGTTTAGCAGGAAAGCAATCATTTATTAGAGTGAAATGTATTACTCCTTTCCTGTCGTTTCTCTTCATCCCTCTATAGGGCAGTTTCCAGCATTATTGGACTTATAACCAGATTAGCACACAGAATAGATGGTTTTTGTACAACTGGGGGTTGGCTAAGACAAATGTTCAATGTGGTTTGCATAAATTGTGTTAGCCTTTTTAAGGCACTAAATTTTGTATTCAGAGTCTTTTTAAAATTTATTTTGTCTCTTGCTCTCTTGCTTTCTTGCCTCTAGCTTCTCTCTGTCTCCTCACCCCTTCCCCCTCTCTCCACATGGTCAGGGCTGGCCTCTACTCCTCTGCACTCCTCTCTCTCTCTCTCTCTCTCTCTCTCTCTCTCTCTCTCTCTGCCTCTACTACCCTCCTGGCTCCCCTCCCCATGCCCTGAATAAACTCTAGTCTATGCTTTAAAAAATTATTTTGTGGGATGTGTGTTGTACATGTGTGTGCCCACGCATGGGGTGGCCAGGGGCTGCTGTTTCAGGTAGGCTGGCTGGCAAGTGAATTTCCAGGGATCTCCCTGGAGTTCCTGGCACACATGAGGATTTAAACTAGCACCTCCTGCTTTTATGGCAAACACGCTTACCCACTGAGCCACCTGTCCATCACCTCAGACTTTCCTTCTCCTCTCCCTTTTTTGTCACCTTTTGTATCAGAAAACAAATCAGTAGAGGAACATAAGTCATGGTGGCATTCGCCACAGTATAAAGATGAGTTCATTTTTCTGCAAACCCAGGCACAACTGACAGCAGCTGTTGCTTCCGTTTTAAAAAGAACACTAAAAACAACCATGATGACACACACTTGCAACCCAAACACTTGCCAAGTAGAGGTTGGAGAATCAGGAGTTCAAAGTCAGCCTTAGATACATAGTAGGTTAGAAGCCAGCCTGGGCTACATGAAACTCTGTCAATGAACAAAGGGAAAGAGGGAGGGAGGAAAAGAGAAAAAAAGAAAAAACAGCACCAATTCCTATTCCTTTACATGTTTCTAAAACTCTTGTACTCTGACTCAAGAGTCAAGAACCTGGGTATTATGCAAAGTGGTCTTGTATCTTAGAATCCCACCAACTACAATCCAGTGAGCACGTCAAACCAATGTGTCCTACTGTAATGAATGGTAACTTCTTATCCCCTCTGCCATCTTCATTCTTTCTTGGGTTTGTGATCAAATGAGATGCTGCTGGGTTGGGAGCCATGGTTCCATGGATGCTGCAGAGAGCATTCGAACAATGAGACAATGAGGAGAAGAGAGACTCCATGACAGAGATTGTTTCTCTTCCTCATCTCCACCATGAATGATACCCACACCTCATTTGATAGTTGTATGTTGATCAACAAGTTTAAGTAATTGCCCCCGGCACCTAGAAGATCAGGACGGCAAGGTCAGATAGAGTACACAATGCTGCCTGGGTTCTTGCATATCTGAGTTGTACTGGGGGCTCTGTCTTGACCTCTCCATGTAAAAAACTACAGGTGTTTTTATTGATACATTTGTTTGTCAACATTGCCTTAAATGTACTGTTTTTGGTGAAGCACCATCCAAGATCACCTCCATGCTAGGTGCTGAAAGAAGTAGAAGGAAGGGACATCACACATTTGTAGCCCATGTCTCCACCGTGTTCTATAAAGTTCCATGACAACCCAGGGTTACACACTAGTGAGCTGTCAACTGCATGGGATGTTTCTGCTGGTAAAGCCTCCAGCTGGTTGAAGTGGAAAGGGCATTCTGTTAAGCTCTGCCGCCTCAGATAATCTCTTGTCATTTGTAACTGCTGATGGTTCAAACACTGATTTACTAGCCATGGGCATGGAGTCATCTCACTGTCGTTATCCACAAATGCTTCTCATCCTCTACATCAGCCATAGCTCATGGATCTCGCCACTAAAAATCTCAAGCCTTATATTGACCCATGGGTAGCCAAAGTCATGATACGATCATTCTTGCCATGATTAAGTGTGGTCAGCTCTAGCTCAGGGCTCCGTCAAGGATAGCCATCAATCTAAAGCTTCTTATGTGAAGGCATTCATGACCTGCAAATACAATGGATACATTCTGCAATTTGAAACAGTAAGGCTTGATAAATGTTCTCTCTTTAAAAATGGCTACCTTATGTGTGAATTCATGTCTACATATACATGTGGAAGCCAGAGGTCAATATTTCTTGAGACAATTTACTAGCTGAGAAATCTTCATACCCACCCCACCCCCTTTTAAAGATGAAGAAGTTCAAGAATCCTGGATGAAACAAAGCAACATCTTATTTTGGGGGAATGGCTGACAGGTACAGTATTTAATACCCCAGTTCTTCCTATAAATGCCTCCCTGGCATTATTATATACATACACATTTCCAAATCTCCTAGATGCATGGGATGATGTCCTGGTTAAGAATCACTATATAAGTGTGTGTGTGTGTGTGTGTGTGTGTGTGTGTTGGCTTGACACTTTCCCGAGGCATATGCTCATATGCTACAGTAATGGAATCCCTTGGTGCTAGAAGATCACCAGATTTGCTCAAATAGTTACTTCACTTTAACCATAACCTCGTCTCTGATTCACTGTGCTGGCTCCCATAAAACTCTTTTATGTCTCATGCTGCTTATTCTGATTTTTAAAAAAATGAATGTGTGTGGGGGATGCACATGCCAGGACACATGTGAAGGTCAGAGGACAACTCCTTGTTGTGAGGTCTCTCTTCCTACCTTTATCTAGATACTGAGGACTAAAGGCAAGCCCCTCGTTCGGCTTCTGTAGTAATGCCTTCATCCACCCTCCAGCCATCTCAATGACCCTCTGGACATTTGCACTTAAAGGCTGGCTATTGGACCTCTGTCTTTGACAAGCAGAGCATCATATAGGGAAGAGTGTGTTGCTGGCTTCCATCTCACAGGAGAATAATACAAGAATACACACATGCAATCTTGGGTTAAGGCAGAAGAAATAATTCCTCAGCAATGTGAACTTGAGAGGGTCCAAAGACAGGCCATGTCCTAGAGTCACTGAGGGAGACCTACTGTTTGTTAATATAACTAAGAGAAAATGGTGGCCACTCAGATCTGCTGCCCTTGATGTCATATCCTGTGTCTCCCTGAATGTCACCCACCACACCAAATGTGGCCCTCAATCAACCTCTTCTGTAAGTCCTGGCTAACAAAGACTGTTCTGTCTTGTTGCTTCCATTCATCTCTGGCAAATTATACAAATGCTTATGGTTCCCAAGAAACCCTATTGTTTAGGAAAAGTGTCCTGTTCCAGGTGTCCCATGGTTTCTGAGTCAATTACCCTCAGTATGTCCCCAAAGCTCATGCTTACATCTCTGCTGTAACATTTACGCTTCCCCAATTACTTCTGGGTTTTTATTACAGCCAACTCTCCCAAAATTGTAAATTCCTAAGAGCAAGAATAACTTTATCCATCTTCCTGGTACATCAAAAACAGAAATATGCCTGGAGTAGCTATTCAACCAGTGTTTGCTGAATGAATGAATGAATGAATGAATGAGCAAATAGGTGACTATAAATTGGGCTACTACATATACATTTTTAAAAAAAGAAACAGAATGTTTAAGTAGAACTTGAACTTGAAAGCTAGAGATGATTTAAGTTCAGGAACTTGAAAATATTTGCTTGCCCAGCTATAGTTGATATGCCAAAGGACCTGTCAGATAACACTGAAAACATGTCTACAGTGAATGAATATAGACGTTATCGGTGACCTTTACTCCAGAGATAATGAGAATGAAAGCCACAAGGCAAAACTTTTCCATCCGTGACATACTTTTTATAACTTTTTAAAAAAAGTAATCTTAGCTAAAAGCCACCTTCCTGTTATTCCGAAGTAAACCATGTTATGGTGAATGGCTAGATGCCATTTTAATTTATGTTGATTCCCAAAATTGATTTTGAGCAATTCTGTTTTTTTCCCCCGTCATACTTTTAAGAATCCGTTTACCAAGTCATCAGAACTACCAACAGTCGTGCCAGTGTTCTGAGCGGCTGATTTATCAGTACAGGTGGCCACTGATGGAATGGCAAAGCCACAAGAGCCACAAAGGAGCTGAGGCCCACAATCTTGTATGGAGGTTAAAACAAGGAAATTCTGTTTTATTGATGACTAAGTGTCCTAGCAAGTTTTTTGACAGAAGCATAGAGAGAAAACGGAAACAAACACCTTGCTGGGAATGTTTCCTCGTGGCACTGACCTCGATGACAGCAATCATGCCTTGCTTAACAGTAAAGGGGCACTAGGTCACCTCCTCAAATTGTGTGATAAGTGAACCTGCAGTTCCCAAGGGAGACAAACATAAGCAAACACATCCCGTGCCTGGCTGAGGACTCTGCCCTAGTCCACGTGCGTGCTGGATCTGCCAGGTCTCTTTCCCTCCCAGGCAAAGAAAGCCAGTTGGGACAATCTACCCCTCTGTCTCATAGGGCCCACAACTATCCCGTTAAATACTTCAGGCCCTTCTGCTCTCCTTCATCTAGCCACTGTGAGCAAGATCAGAACAAGCGCTGGTATTCTTCCTGGGAGAATTTATACAAACTCATGCATTGGCTTCTGTGATGTAATCAAGAAAGCCTCCTCCTCACTTTTAGTCCTTTCTAGAAAATCCTTCCCCACCTGCACGGGAAATGGCTATGTTCAGAGGGATGCAGGCAGCTTGGTGGCTAAATGAATACTACATGCAAAATAAAAGAAAGGAAAACACCTTTTCATATGTCTTGTTGGATGTGTGTCATTGTGAATCATAGAAAACTCTAGAAGAGTAAGAGAGGTGGTGCAGAGATGTTGGCAGGCTGGGAAGCACGGCCATTTCATGGCCGGTGGGAGGGAGGTGTCTCCTAGAAGTTCTAACCTTTTGCCATGGTGGATCTGAATAAGGATACAAATGAGTCTTCCTCCATGTTGGTGAGGTCTTCTGCCTACCCAAAGCACTTAGAACTTAGAGTCAGTCTAATCCTATTCTCTCCTCTTCTTCCTCTCTCTCTCTCTCTCTCTCTCTCTCTCTCTCTCTCTCTCTCTCTCTCTCCTGTCTCTCAGAATTTTTTTCTCACAAGACATCAGAAATATACAAGAGCTGTGATTAATAGTTCCCCAGGGCACCTATCTTTTTCAAAAAGGGAAACGCTTTGGTGTGATGAAATCCTGGCATTAAACCATAGTGAAGCTCTGGCAGACAACTAAAGACCCTGCTGATTTGGAAGAACTGGACAAATCAAAACAAAAGGGGTACTTCCCCTCCTTCCCACCCTCCTTTTACCCCCCACCCCAAACAGCAAAATAGCTTTTGTTTTTCCAAAGTCCTAAGAGGCACAAACAGGAAGCAAGAAGGCATGGTGAAGCATCTCTCAGAGTGCTCTTCGGCCCTGTGCTGGCTCAGGTGATGACGGTGGGCCCTCTCCGGCCAGTTCTCTCGTGAATCTGGGATATTTTCAGCGCGATGGCAATGAGAGGGCTCAGCACTGCCTGGAAAAGAAAGAAGGATGATCATTAACTTGAAATCAGCTAGTTACCGTACAGGCTTTACCGTACAGATCTCTACCTTAGAGGTGTGGATTCAGACTACGTTTTGCAGTTTGTAGGCAGCGACTGGAACGGGCGGGACACGGAAGCAGGACAGAAAACTGCTCTATGAGGTCTTACTCAAGCCCAGAGAAATGAACTCATGATAGGGATGTGCATAAGCCTACTACTAAACAAAACTGTGCATTCAGGAAGTCTGGAAACCTCCATTCTTCCTCTGATACATTAATCCCTTCCAAGTTACAGCCCCGCCAAACCCTGGCCCACATTCAGTGTGAGGGCAAAGCTCAACCCTTCCCTGCCTTCCCACCATCCTGAGAACATTCGGGGAAGATGGTGCCGTGCTATTGCTGTACAATGAGTGGATCTATCTTTCTGTCCTATACCTGTACTGGCTACTGAGTGTCTTCAGTATTCTCAGAGGGGTGGGGTTGGCTTAGAGAGCTTTGGAACACAGGTCAGCAAAGGACTAAGCATCACTCCTTGACCTTCCATTGCTTATCTGGTTTCTGAAGAGCTGAGTGCATACCCCAGACACACCCATAAGACATAAATCACAAAGCAGGGGGAAGCTGGTCTGCCTGCATTCTTCAGTCCTGTTACCCCCAGAAACAAGAAACTCTGATCACGCTGACCTTCAGCACTTTGCCTTAAGAGTCACCTCACCTGAGGACATTCTTATGTATATTTTTACTAAATGTATGTGTACAGTGCACTCCGGCTTATCAAACAATATTGTGTTTCAGTGTGGATTGTTCGTGTAAACTTACATGGAAGTATAGAGTGAGTCAATTTAGTGACAAAATTCAAAACAGAGGTCTTGATGCAGAAGAGTTGGGCAGTAGTGGAATAAAGAAATAAGTAAAGATTCCATAATTCTGGAAAATGAAGTCTGTGCTGAGAGAGGGGCATTGAAAACTGCAGGGTGTTCAGATTTGCAGTCAGACAAAAGAACATGCGTAGGGCACAGACGGCTCAAGCAGCCTCAACGTACTGAGTACTCAGAGACTCCTAAGAGATCGAAAGCCAGTCTGATGTAAGGGGATCTAAACGCTAGGGTGGGGCTCACCAATTTAATTCACTATGCAGTGGGGGCCATAACTATCCTTGGAGCCAAAGGTTATCATAGTCAGAGCAGTGGACATATTAATCTGGGGGCATGTCTAGTAAGGCATTACTTTAGGGGGTATTTCATATAATTAAATTGTACAACCTCCATAATGAACAACCACAAGTAATTTCACTTCATTCAAATAATTGAATTGAAATTATTCCAATATCATTACCAAAATAAACAGTAAGGTGTGAGTACACATATAGAGAGGTTTACTATAAAAAAATGAAATTCAGTGATTTGGAGACAATAGAGAATGATGGTTTGTTGAAACAGATGAGCATGAGATGTTGTGAAATATTGGTGAGAAATATATATATATATACCTTAAAAGGATTCTTGAGCTACCTTGCTTCGCAATTGCATTTAAGTTCCTTTTGGGAGATGTTTTTGCACACTGTGTATTCATATGCTGATTTCTATGTCCTGAGATCCAGTTGAAGGCTGGACTTTGGTACAACTCAGTATTTTGTAAAATATTACTTTCCATCACCTCTTGATTGGTTAAAAAAAAAAAGAGCTAATTAGCCTACAGCTGGGCAGGGAGGATAAGGTGGAACTTGCATGCCCTGAGAGTAAGGGAGGGTCTCAGGCCGGCTGACTGAATGAAGACTAAGGTGCCAGTTCAAGACGAAGACAGCTGGTCACAGGTCATGTGGCTGGGAAGGAGATCAGGCCAGCATAGTTGGGTTAGGATAGCTCAGAACCTGCCCAGCTTAGAGCCCAAAGCTTTTAATAAATATACCAGGGTTCTGTGTCGTTATTTCAGAGCAAGGGTGGGTGTCAAAAAAAGCCTTGCTTTTACAGGTTCTATTGGTAATAAGTAAATAGGAATAAAAGCTAGACATTAGAGAGGATGAAACAGACTTAAAATTTTAAACAGTGTACTCATATTCAAAGAAAAATGTCCTGGCCCAAACCTGAATAACTGGAAATGGGCACACAAATCACACATGTACTGGGAAAGACACAGTAAGCAGGACATGTATGCACCAGGACATGTATGGACCAGGACATGTATGGACCAGGACATGTATGCACCAGGACATGTATGCACCAGGACATGTATG